CCCTCCCTGTTCAACGCTTGAATTCATCAAAATTCCAAATATATTGAAAAAGTATTCGTTTGTATTTCACTGGTCGTAGATTCCACTCGAATTACTTGTGCCGAGCGCTCCGAGTATTTCAACATTTTCAGAAAACCGCCTTCCGTTCTATCCGTTCTGTACCCGTCTCTCTTCCCCAAACAGCCTTATTCGATGCTTTCCCGCCTTTCCTCCTCCTCGATCTCGAGAAAAGTCCGCGCCCCTCGCGAACAAGTCCGAAAGATACGATCGCTGGCGGGGCGAACAGGTGAAGTTGCCACCGCTTACGCTCGAAATCCGAGCGTCAGCCTGGCTCGACCCATTATTTTCGCAGGTCAGGCTACACTTTCAGCTGATTATCTTCGACCGTTGCTTCCACCGTCGCCAGCCTCCTTTTTCACCGGCGATTTCCACCCGCCGACACTCTCCTCCTGGCACAGTCGACTTCGCTCTTCTTCTCACTTCGTGCACACGTCACACAATCTCTCTTTGCGGCTGGTGGAAAGCTGGAGAAAGCAACGTCTTTATTCGAGACGAGATACGTCTCGAATCCTTTTCGACCAGTGCACTCGTGTCGCGTCGTTCCTCAGGTAGCTTCCGCGCGCTATTTCGGTCAGCAGTTGAAATCTTTGAATGAAATCCTTGAAAGGCGGACTTCCAGGCCCGCCGCCAAAGCCGGCGTCCCTCTCCATCGATCCACACTCCAGATTAGGCAGAAGTATCTACCTCGAGAGGTTCGCAGGGGAGGTGAAATACGGCGGCAGGGAGAAGCGAGTGGATCGCGTGAAACGAGATGCTCCGAAACGAGAACGAGACTGGGGGATTGGGGCCTCGAAAAAGCGGTTAGAAACGAGGCAAGATGGGCGGAAAATGCGATGTACGTTGCTCTTATCTTCTTTTTTCTTTCCTTCTTTTTTCTTTTTTTTTTTCTTCTTTAAGCATCTTTCGGAAGAAAAGCCAGGAAACGGTGTCCCACAGCTGATTATACAATAAAGTATTGGAACGAGGAAATAAATCGGTCCCCCTCTCTTTCTCCTCGTATGAGAAACGAGCGAGTGGAGGTGATGCACGAAAATATTCCAACTCCTATCGTAGAAGAATTTTTATTTTATGTGAAGAATTAAGCGTTGTACGAAATACTTTGAGATTTTTATTGAGAGACGATTATTACGACTATAGTCCAAAAATTTCGAAACCAACCTTGGAATGTACGTGCAAAGGAGTTACATGATATGTATTGGACATTAATAAAAGTCTGCATTAGAACTGTCTGAAGCATATAAAAAATTTCTCATTCTTCCTGAACGCAAAAATTAATTCCTCTGTCAAAAGATCAAATATCTTGTCATTTCTATATATATATTCTCATTCTTCCTGAACGCG